AAAGTGGACTCAATTTGCACTATTTCTGGCAGTCTGCAAGCCCCCTAGGTTTTTAAAAAAGAAACTCTCAGGATATGAACTTCTACATTACTGATGAAGTATTATTATGGCAATACTAAACCTTCAGAGAAATTATTGAAAAAAGTAGGACATATCACAAGTGGAAGACACCATGCTCTCTGAGTTTATGTTTCATAAGCTATGGCCACTATTGTTTGGTGTCAGGTATCTGCAGAGCTGTAGCAGCAAACTGCCACTTTTATCATTTCTTTACATCATGCAAGTAGCCCTCGTGTGATTTAAAAGATTGCTTTCAGCTAACTGAAAAGCTATTGATTTACAGGGCTGTGTACTACATATATGAACTTCACCTGTTGTCTCAGAAAAGCATTGCCACCCCCTTGCCATACATACTGAAGGACTGAGTGTCCCTCCAACTAATGCTCCCTTAGTGTCTATCATTCAACTCAGCTGTTGGTCTCCTTGATCCAAAATACACATCAGTATGGATGTGCTCTGCCTTGGAAAATTAATCCAATGATCCTGGAGGAAAGAGGAGGAGGGTAAATTTAGCAACTGTCTGAGTTATCCTGAGTACTGGGGAGGAGGAGAAAAAGAAAAGTCAAGGTGAAAGGGATTTCAAAGAGTAGTGGTATTGCTACTGGTCGAAATTCTATATTCCCACAGTGCTGTTCTTTATGGGATTTGAAAGCCAACCTGAATATAATGGAGGCCTCTGCATTCCATGCATTATAGGGATGCAAAATAGCTAGCTGGTCATTGCACATGGTGGGATGAGCTGCAAAGAGCCCAGGAGTCCTGGCTATCAGCCCAGTGTTTTAGCAATCAAATACTTTAGGAGGAAAGTGCCACAGCATATCACAGTGGCAGGTAACCAAATGTCCTCAGTAAAAGCAGAATCAGAGGCCAGGATTTCCCCCCCTTGTATACTTCCAATTTGGCATCATGGCTGGATGTGGAAGAGAAAGACCAGGCCTAATTTAGGGCCAAAATATTTTACTGAGGTACAAGCTTATCACATTAACTATTAAACTGGCTTACCTGAACTGGCTTAAAATTTAAAATGTGTGGCATCCTGATTTTATCAGAAGGATTTAGTTGCCAAAATCGCTGCCCAGGTCCATCCCGGGTCCATCCCCACTCACAGGGTGCTCAGCATGCTTCTTTTCGAAGCTGGGAGTTTTCTGGCTTAAGGAAATGGCTGCTGGAGCGCCCCTGGGAGCAGGGCTGGACCTGGGCAGAGGATTTGGCAGCTAAATCCTTCTGATAAAATCAAGATGCTGCCCGTTTTAAATTTTAAGCTGGCTTAGGTAAGTCAGTTTAATAGTTAATGCAATAAGCTCCGTAGAGTAGCAAATAGTGGCTCTCATATCCAACCAGGTTAAAGTAACCAATACTCAAAAGTAGCCATATTATTTTGGCATGGAAAGAAAATGCCTTTTCATCTCTAGTAATGAAAAAGACCCTATTAATTATAAGTTAAATAACATTTTCCTGCTATTTCATGACACCCAGAATCTGCTGCCCAAGGCAGCTGATTCACTCTACCTAATGGTCAAACAGAGACTGGCCTAGCTTCCTCATTACAAGGGTCTTGTCTAGTCCTCAGCCCAGGAGGAAAAGAGAGAAACATTGTTGTCAAAACAAACTTTAAAATTAAAAATGCTTCACATGTGTATGAAGCAGATATTATCCATTCCTGGAATGCAGAATCTCATTGGATCTGCTGATTGACTGGGATAATGACCTTGCATCAAAGGATTTAACACTTGACTTCTGCTTTTTCCAGGAAACCATAATAGAAAAGAACAGAACATGCTGGAAAACAAAATGTTTTACTCCTGGGCTTTCCCATTCCTTTTAAGGGCAGGAAGACAGCACCAAGCCCCAGAACAGGTGCTTGTCTGCTTCTGAAGAGAAGACTTTAGGAGGAAAGTGCCACAGCATATTATTGTGGATGGCACAGTATATGGTCTGCCTTCAAAATATCTTTGTGCTTTTTATAGAATGCCATCAAGCTTCAGAAAACCTATGGATCTTTTTGTTGTGTGTCTTCAGGTCATTTCCAACATATGGTGACCCTATAATGGGCTTTCTTGGCAAGATTTGTTTATACCGGAGGGGGGGGGGGTTGCCTTTGCCTTCCTCTGGGGCTCAGAGAGCATGGCTTGCCCTAGGTGACCCAATGGGTTTCCATGGCCAGGGATTCAAACTCTGGCCTCCAGAATTGTAGTCCAGTGCTCAAACCACTACACCACATTGGTTCAATGTATCTAAATGCTTTTGAAAATATCCAAACTTGGTTACTTAAGATAGCATAACTATAGAACAACTTGGCTATCTGGAAAATGCACTAAATATAGACAATAGCAGTGGACTCCATGCAACAACACTTCTGAGCTCTCCTTTCTTTCCTCACTCAGCTGGCTAAATGTCATTTGGAAGCAGACCTTGGCTATCTTGCATTCTTTCTACACACTGAGAGTTATAAAAAGGTTGGCTCAGCAGTTCAGCAAAGGGCTAGTGTGTATTTTTATCATCAAAGAGCTCCAGGGACATTGTAAATGATAAGCTATGAATGCAAATGAGATAGGAGTTGGTTCATTTTTTAAAAGCCTCTTACTCAGAGAGTGACCTTGATTGCTAAGTCCTGGGTCAATTCTGATTCTCTAGGTTCAATAGAATTCATCAACTGGGTCCAGTATAATGATGAATTAAATTTAACCTTTTAAAAAAGGGCACCACTATTTCTGATTTTTCCTCAAGATTCTTCCTGGAAGTAATAAGTCCTCAAGTTAAACACGTCTCTCTCTGTTGAACACTGTGTAAGTCTCTTGGTACATTTTAAATAATTCAAGTCACCAATTAAAGAGGTTTTCAGGTTACTTCCTGACATGGTTTAGTTTCCTTCTCTGGTTAAGAAAAAAACCTGCTGCCCAATGATTTGTTTCAGAATGAAAACTGAACTTGTAATAATCTCATATAAAACTCTGCTAGTGTTTTGCCTAAACTTTCTCCATTTCAGCAATCCAGATTAGAGACACGCTGCCACCACTACCCTTTGAAGATGATAATCAATAGGACCAGTTATTCAGTCTTGGATTTTTTTTCCAGATGTGTGTGTCTTTGTTCCTGGCATCCTCTGCCAGCATGTTGTTGTTGTTGTTAGTTGCCATCAAGTCGACTTCATTGATGATGACACTGTGAATGAGAGACCCCCAAGTCACACTATTATAAACAACCTTGCTCAAGTCTTGCAGACTTGGAGCCATGGTTTCCTTGATTGAGTCTATCCATCTGTAATGTTGTCTTCCTCTTTTTCTATTGTCTTCTATCTTACCAAGCATTACTATCTTTCTAGTAAGGCATGTCTTCTTATGGTATGTCCAAAGCATAACAGTCTCAATTTTGTTATCTTGGCTTCTAGGGACAGTTCAGGCTTGATTTGCTCTTGGATCCATTTATTTGTCTCATTGGCAGTCCATGGTTGATTTCTTCCCTATCAGCTTTCTTGACAGTCCAGTTTTCACAACCATACATACAAATCAGAAATACAATGGGCATAGACAATCCTGACTTTGGTGGTGGTTGTTGTTGTGTGCCTTCAAGTCATTTCTGGCTTATGGCAACCCTAACATGAATCTATCATCAATGATATATCTTTACACTTTACACTTGTCTAGTTCCTTCATAGCTGCCCTTCCAAGTCCTAGCCTTCTTCTGATTTCTTGACTTCAATCTCCATTATTGACTGATCCTAGGTATCAAAAATCTTGAACTATTTCAGTGTCTTAATCATCTACTTAAAAGTTGTGTAAATCATCTGTGGTCATTATTTTTGTTTTCTTAATGTTTAACTGTAACCTGCCTTTGCACTTTCTTTTTTGACATTCTTCAGTAGTTGCTCCAAATATTTGCTGGAAGTATGGTGTCATATGCATATCTTAAATTGTTAATGTTCCTTCCTCCAGTTTTTATGTTTCCTTCCTCTGAGTCTAATCTTTCTTTACATATGATAAATTCAGTATACAAGTGCTGGCATACTGGTTGGGAACAGTATACAGTATTTTTTTATACTTGCCCAGCACCCCTTTTTATTCCTCGTCCTCAGGTCATTATAGTAGGGTAGAAGCTCAAGAAACTACAGTTGCCCACCCCTAGGTTAAATGATGGGTCATTTCCAAAATCCACATAAAGATACACACACACACACACACACTCATAATCTCTCCCTATTTTTTAAAAAAATTGGCTGTCTTCCAATCCAACAGTCAGAATCCTGGTTTTAATTATTTCATTCATTTATGGAAACATTTCTAGATTGCCTTTTGGCCCTAAGAACAGATCCCAAGGTGGTGAACAATACAATAAAAACCAATCAAATCATTAAAACAATATTAAATGGAATTAAAGCCAGGAAGACAATTAAAGCTTTAGTACAATAAAATGCATCACTGAAGGCCTGATGGGACAAAAATGTGTTTATTGCCTGCCTAAAAAGCATCATGGCTAAAGTTAGTCTAATCTCTTAACAGTTATGGAAGGATGACCCTGATGTGTCTCCAATTGCTTTTTCCAGTTTGTTTGCACCAAGACTACTCCATTGTTACAAACATAGAATCTGGCTCCCTCTCTTCATAATTAAATGCCTTTATTACCCTGATACCTAAACCTGATAAGGATCATACTTGCTGCACTAACTACCACCCTATATCCTTCCTTAATGTTAATATCAAAATATCAAAATATTGATAGCTAATAGATTTCAAAATGTCTTTTCATCTTTGGTAAGTTCTGACCAGCGGGATGTATTTAAAAAAAAAAAAAAGGTAGGGAGCCAATAGTATTCAAATAGTTGTAGATCTGTTTGCTTTAAACTCTGATAGAACTGATCAGCCAGTTTTTAGATGTGGAAAAGGCTGTAGATAAAATTTACTGGCTGTTTGTTTTCATAGTATTAGCTAATGCTGGATTTCCAAAAATATTTTTGATAAAAAAGTATATTCAACACCAAGAGCCAATGGTTGTGGTCAATGGTTATGGCCAATTTTCCCCCCATCCTTTTTTTAAATATTGAAATGGGGTATAAGCCACGGATGTCTATTGTCTCCTTTAATATTCAATTTGTGCTTGGAAACCTCAGTATGTGTTATTAGACAAAATTCCAGGATGTAGATTTGGGCATGTTGGTTTAGAATTTAAAGTACCTTTATTTGAAGCAGATTTTTTGGTTATTCATTTCAAAGCCTCAGCAGTTGATCTCTGTTTTGATGCAGTACATTAATAATTTTGATAAAATATCTGTATATTCAGTTAACTGGTCCTAGTCAGAAATAATGTCAGTGGGAGACAAGACAGACTCTATTATATTTAAAGCATTGTAGTTTCAATATTGCCCAAATTCTTAATTTATTGGGCATAAATTTCCCTAGGAATTCTCTCAGATGATTACTCTTAATATAAGTAAGCTGATAAAAGATATTGCACAAGATTTAGAGAGATGGACAGGCTTAAATATGATTCTGTGGGGTAAAGTACATATAATTAAAGTAAATGTTATACAGTGGGCCCTTTCTATATGCGGGGGATCCATTCCGGACACACACCCACACATAAGGCAAAAAACGCAGGACCTCAAGTCCCATTTGTTTTAATGGGTGTGTACTCCCATGTGTGATGCTGTACACATGCCATGGGTTCACGTCCCATTCACTCTTCCGTGACCTTGAATCCACATATGCCGAACATGCGTATGGTGCAGCCATGCTGTACCTATATTTGTTTATTCAAAGATATAAAGCAAAGCAAAGCAGCTTCATTTATATACCACTTCATATCGCACTATGGGATGTCTAAGTGGTTTACAACTGTAAGCTCATTGCCCCCCGACAGTTGGGTACTGTGTTAGTCTAGGAAATCAGTATGCATATAGATCTTGCAAACTGCAAACATAATTCTTAAAGAGGCATTGCTTTTAACATATCTACCAACTGTCTCAATTTGGCAGGGATGATCTGTCCTCCCACTTTTTAGGCTGCTTTTAAAGTGTCCCAGTTTCTCTCTTCTCCTTCCTGCTTATTCAGTTGCTGCAAACTGAGTTCAAAGTAGAAAAGCAATTTGCACTCAATTAACATGGCAAGGAGAGTAAGATAGAGAAAGAATCTTGCTCTTTCTTGAAGATGCAAACTAGACAACTTTCCAGCCTGTCCTAACTTGTGTTTTTCTTCCTCATTTAATAACTTTTACCAACTTGACCACATTTTGATATTGCTTGGCCACACATGTCCTTATTTTCATCAGTTGGAAAATGTGTTTTAATAACAAACTGCATACTTTCATTAGAAGATCATTCATTTCTTAAAGGTATTCTGGAAATCTTCAAGAGTTTTTTTTTATAGAGCTCTGGGTGTGTCCATTCAAACAGGGCTTGCTTTAAAAAAATTGAATTAGCTCTAGAATGACATCTGTTATTACCTCTCCTTGACTTATCATAGTTCTTGGAGGTGCCCTCACCAAATAATTCAGGTGTCCAACTTCTTCCACCATTAAAACCAAGATGCAACTTTTCCACTGTTTTCCTGTCCTACTCTAGGAATCCCTTCAGACCATTGTCATCCAGTCTCTGATCATCACCATGCTGGTGGCACAGACTGTGGACTTCATGTGTTCTTACTTTAGGAGCATTAAACAATTAATTTATCTTAACAATATTATTTTCTTCCCCAGCACCCCTATCTTACTGTTTTGTTATAGTTGTACTCACTTCATTTTAAAAAATGTTCTAGACAAAGGAAACCTTCATATTTTTTATTCTGTTTCTTAGCCATAATTCACCTGGAATTATTCATGCATTATTCAATGTGTGATGTACCTACTATTTGAGCACCTGTAATTTTATATAATCTACAAACATCCAGAAGAGATGTGTCCTCTTTGAATCTTCTTTTCAGACTCCTTTTAGTTAATTACCTTGTTTTTTATAAAGGAATTTCTGATTTCAGATAAAATATGACTCCACTGGACTTTGCACTGGGCAATTTTTTCATGAAAATATAGTGCTGAATTCAGGCAAAAGCCTTATTCAGGTGAATCCCACTGTGGGAGAAAGGTGGGATATAAATCCTGGAAATAAATAAATAAATAAATAAATAAATAAATAAAATTGAAAAACAGAACACACAAGGAGTGGGAATGCACAAGTTCTGTCTCCTCTTTGTAAATTTCCATCACTTGTCTCACATGAGAATCAACTTTCTGAAGAGGT